GCAACGCATGGCGTCTGCGAAAAAAATCAGGGGGGTGGGGGTGGAAAAAGCACACGCACCAAGAAATAAATCAAATCGCACATACTTAATAATATCGCAAAAAGAAAGCACATAGCAGTGCCGAAAATTAACACAATCTCGACTAAATTCTAAAGCAAATCTGCATCTGTATCTGTAGCTGCTTCTTTGTATCTGTATCTGTGACGGGCATTGGCAACTGGCTTTCCCAAGGCCAGTTGAATTTTGTGGTCGTTAAACTCTCTCCCACTTTCTTCCCCACCCCCCTGCTCCTCCTGCGGGTTCTCTTTGTTCACTTTCACGGAAAGAACTCAACGACCTCAAAATGCGCAATAAATTTTTGGCTGCCTGCACTTTGAATACACTAGAAAAATAGTACTAATGTGTGGCAATTAATTTAATGAGTTTAATTTATTTTGGGCCCTACGATATATTAATAAATTAAATGTAAACAATTTTAACCACACCTTTTTTGGCTTCCTGCTTAAATGAATTTAAGTCAAGCGAATATAATACTTATAATATTGAAAACAGAAAATCCACATTACCAAAAATGTATTTATTTACAAGAGCTAAAATACGATAGATTAAATTTTTCTCTGTGTACACAAAACAAATCAGGAGCACTGTTTCCAGCTCTTGTTTGGCTAATTAAAAAATGTTAGCTGCCACAAAAAAAGGCAGAAATCAAAAGCACAGTCAGAAATGGCTAGAAACAAATGTTAATGAGTGCAGTCACTCTGAATGATTGCAAAAGGCGACGGAACGGGCAGGGACTTTGGGTTCTTTTTAAAAATAGGGGAATGACGACAATGAAGGCGGGCAAATGTTTTATGGCACGGGTACTCAACCACGGGCAAAACAAAGCTAACAAGATCAAGGCGCTCTTCAAACAATTAACACAAATCGTGCACATATAAATACCCGTATATAGTATTTATGGACTGGCTTTATCAGGTGTATTGGGTGGGCACAGTGCACGGTGGTGCGATAAGCGTCACGTCTTAATCACATGAATGGATATATTATTCACCCAATTTGCTACCCAATCATCGCCATATTGTATCGGACATGTCCAGCGGGTGTGCCTTATTTGGGTTACAGTCTGATAGTCCCGAACAAAGAAAAAGTAAAGTTGTCTGGAGTTCAAGGTTCCACCCTTGATGGGGGGACTAGAAATCGCATTCGGCTTACCATGGGAAAGTGCAATTCTTATCATCAAAACAACAATGATATTTACTTTATGTTAAAGTGTATGGGTTCCTTTGTTTATAAGAAGACGGTTCAGTTAATATGAGACATTAAGGTAAACCCATTTTAACTTATTTGGATCTTCCTATCAATTTCATTGTATTCATGCTAAAAATATTTTATCTAAACTATTCCATCTACCATTAAAGTCCTCAGCATATTTAACATATAATTATCAGTTCCGAACTGGAATCAAAAAAATCATGACACACAAGTTAATTTCCCAGATTAGATCGCATTTCTTGGAATTTCTCTGCGAAGAAATTTCTTAGAAGTCAACGCCTTGAGTTGCCACCTCCAAGTTATTGCCAAGAAATTACAATTTAATTAAACGAATAAATTGAAATAATTTCGTCAAGAAGACGCCGTGCTCGTTAGTCCGAATTAGAGTTCCACGAACCACTAAAAAAATGATTTGAAACGAAAAAGGAAATTCAGCGGGCCATAAAAGCTAATGGAAAGCGGTGGAAACAAGGGCAGAAAAGCCACGTGGCGATGAAAAATACCAAAATTAATTGCATGTTTAGTGCTAAATTCTTTCATTCCAGCGAAAAAAAAAATCCAACTCGAAAAGGGAACATTAAATGCAGTCGACTGGGCAGCCCGAAAACACGCTATATAATTATACGATCGACCATATAATGTAAGCCGTATACATTTAATGCAAACACATATACGTGTATTAACGTACTAAATTAGAAGAGGCCAAAGGAAAAAAAAGCCTTGCATGACATAAAGGCATTTTCAATGCAATATTTCTAATGGAACCCCCACCTTTTCCCTGTTTTTTATTGTACTTTTTTTTTCTTGCCGCCTTGCTAACCAAATATGTATTCAGGCCAAGTCCTTGCGGCTCATTTAACAACTCTTTCCACTCAGCCAGCTTCGTATAACTTTTTTGTTAATTATTTTCTGTGTGCCTGGCAAAAAAAAATAAGGAAAACAGGGCGAAATGCCTGATGAGGTCAACGACTATATTACCAGCCTCAGGTCGTTAGGAGATATACATAAAAGCACATACGTATACGTAAATTAAATTGTGCATGTCTGGCTCGTTTCAACAGGACATTAAATCCCAGCCGTGGGATGAGGGATGTCTGTGCGGAATACCAGAGTGCTGACACTTTGTCCTGACATCTTCATTGTCAAGTGGGGCACTTGGCTTTGTACCACCCGGCGTATGTGTGATGTGCTGACGGCTTTCGAGCTTGTCTTCGACGAATCGCAGCTAAAACGCTTTGTTTGCTCACTTAATTGCCTTTGCATTTGCATTTGCGTTGAATTCTTTTTATAACCATGACTCGTCAGTTTGTTTATCTAAAGTCTTTTTCTTTTTACCTTTGCTACTGCCCCAAAAAAAAAAAATGCTGTGGGATTTTTTCTTTCATTTTTATCAGCAAGAGTCAATAACTGATTATGGCGTTCGAACAGAGAGAAGAAATAACCCAAAAGACAAAAATGAAATAGAACAAATACCTAGGTTTCTTATAAATAGACTTCACGTTGTTTACGTGTCAGCTGGAACGTTGCTGTTATTTCTATCCACCATATAGACCCCCCTCTTAATTATTCCGCCAGGGGGTAAACAAAGTCGTACGATGGATGCGTCAGCACACAATTTGGCTGACAAAGTATCTACACCTTGATAATGACAATTATGAAAGTAACACCGCTCTTCAGCTGACCCAACCACCTTGTGTGTGTATTTCAGGTGAAAAATCCAACGCCCACGTGCCGACAGTAAGCCAAGTTAATACTCCGAGAAATGCCAGACACTTTGATGCATTTTATCCCCCGGTGAAAGCGAATGGGGAGCGTAAACACTTTGATTCACCCGGGAGAAAAAGAGTATTTCTTTATAAAGGGTGGGGAGAACAGAACAAACTCAAGACCCCATCTAATTTTGTATTCCATGAGTAAACAGCGAAACATAAAAGCGGAAAATCGACCAAAGAGAAACCAAAATTGATTGGTAAACACCAAATAGGTGCAATTACGTTGACCAAAACATTCGATTAAATGGAATCGTTGATAAAACAAATATCACGAATAGGTCTTTCATAAAGATCAACAAAGAAAGGAAATAAATCCATTAAAATAGAGACATCAACTTAAATAATTTATGCGTTACTAAGGTAAAAACCAAATAAACACTGACTTGCTAATTGTATAAAATAAAATTCCGTTAGCCCCCATATAGATTAAAAAACCCCAAAGTCATTCAAAGAATGGTCGAAAATATTAATTGCCAGTCAAAAAAGTTTTCCGATTTGAGATCTGGTTAATTTTAGCTATGGCTTTCCATTTTCTCACCCCACTTCCACCTAATTCTGTCTATCATATCCATTGTTTTGCTCAAGAAAAGGAAAAAATAGCTCTTGACGAGTCAAGTGTTTCTCGTCTGATGCCTTCTGTCTTTTGTTAATTTTTTTGCCCGCCGTTCTGGTACTCAAAGCATTTTGTTTGATGGATTTCTAAGTGCGTAAATCGTTGTGATTTAGTTGCTCTTCAAAAAAAAAATAGGAAAACTATTTTCGTTGGGAAACCGCGAGGGCAACAACAAAATTGTCGCTGGGAAAATGGAAATGATTAATTGGCTGTTCTTAGTTTCAATTTTTCTTCTGTGTGTTCCCCCCCAATGAAGGGGAAAATCCTCTTGAGCTCAATTGACTGACTCAGCGCCTTAATATATCATTAAAAAAGTGAGAGATTTCTGAGAATATCACTTCGGGTGCGGAAAGAGTTTAGCTAACAACGCGTGCCGCAGTTCACATATCCATCAGATACAATTTGGTCGCTTATTTACTTTGAATTTGCTCTATAAATATTGGATTAAGTGGTCCTTGGCCCGCCTATGCCAGTGCCATTTGGCGCGCTAAACACACACAATTAGAGTAACAAGTTGACATTCGTGGGAGTGGAAAGTAGAAGTAGCAAGGAAAATACGCATACGCCGCATGGGCTCCAGTGGGTTAGGTGTGGGCGGTTCGGCTGGGCGAGACTTGTTGCGCCACCACTGGGTTCCCTCGTTTCGCCTGACGTCAGCAAATGGAGTCTATTGAGCCTTGCCATTTTCGGCCCTGCCCTCTATTGATTTTTCAATTCCCCACCACTGCAGTCGAATCGAAAAGGATTGCTGCTGCACTGACAGAAATTTTAAGGCAAAAGAACGAGGCGTTCAAGAAAAATTATAAGATTGTGGGGAGAAATATCAAATATTTAAGATTCTTGAAACCAAAAATTTAAATTTAGAAATTAATTTCAATAAAATATGATATTATGAAGCGCAGTTTTCAAGAAATCAATAAGATACATAAGAACAAAAGGGTATTTCTTAAGACGATTTGAACATTTCTTTTATGCTTAAAGTCTTTTTTTTAATTTTTAATATTTTTAGTCTTGTAAAGAAATACTTTTATTAAAATAATCGAAAAGCGTTGAGCCAAATGACCAAGAAAGTAAAAAAAATAATGAACTTTGTTTAGAAGAAATGGAAATAAAATTTTTTTGTAAGTTTAAATTCTCATTTAATTGAATTTTTGATACAAACTCTTTCGAAAATAGACAATAATTTAGAATATCTTTTTAAAATCGACATTTTTTTGTTTAAAGATTGTTTTAAGATGATAATTTTAATGGTTTTTAATTTGAATAGAATTTATAAGGGTACTCCTAGTTTTATAAAATATTCCCCCAGAGACCCTTAAAAAATATTTTTAAAGACAACTCACCTTTCTCCAGGCTGGCATTGCAGAACTTGAGGGCGTCATCGAGCAGATTGAGGTGCATGCAGCTGCTGGCCTTCTCACTGATCTTCTTGGCCTGCAGATCGGGTCCCCACCACTTCTCCACCAGTCGGCGGACGAGGACGTCGGGCATGAACTTCATGGCGGCGGAGCCACTGCCTCCGCGGTGGGCGGGCAGATAGCCATTCAACTCCAGGCTGGCTGCCGCCGAAGTGGACGCCATGGTGGTGGTGGCCGTGGCCGTGGTGGAGGCCACTGTGGTGGTGGTCACTGTCATGGGTGGTGCTGCCAGGCGGTGGACACTGGACGCCAGCTGAACGCCATAACCCCCTGGAAAGCTCATCAGGCTAAGGTTCGCATTGGCAGAGGGTGTGGTGGCGGTGAAAAAGCTAGATCCCACACCACTCGCCGTGGTGGTGGTCAGGGCGCAGACCGGTGCTCCTGGTGGTCCTGTCGCCGAGTCCTGGACGCGGGGAAATCGCACCTGGCAGATGTTGCACTGCGTGATTGTCTCACAGCACTGGCGGCAAAAGGTGTGCCCGCAATTGGTGGTCACCGGGCAGCGCAGGATGTCGCAGCAGAGGGGGCACAGCAGCGGATCGTAGTCCTCCATGGGACTGGGCACTCTTAGTTCTCGCGTGGGCGAGTGGAGGTCCAAAGGGGATTCACTGGGTGACTCACTCAGGGATGCACCACCACCACCCATTCCCCCTAGGAATTCCACCTGTTCAGCGTGATTGTGTTTGGCCTGTTGGTGGTGATACCTCGACCAGGGCATCATGTCCTGTCTTTCCGACATTCTGGGGCTCTTAGCGGTGGGTGTGGTGCTGGTGGTGTTGGTGCTGGTTGTAATCCCACCCATTTGCCGGATCTGCGAGGTCAATGCACTGGCCAGAGAGTTCAGCTTGTCCAGGGGCACATGGCCATCGAACTGCCGGCTGGCTATCAGCTCATAGACATCGAAGGCCTGGGCCAGACTGCCCACCTTGACGAAGGATTCGGCCAGCAGGTAGTGCAGCGAGCTCTGGTTTTCGCCATGTGACAGGTAACACTGTAGTGGGCGGCTGTTGGGTGGCTGGTGGTGACCCCGATTCTGGTCCTGCTGCATCTGTTGCTGTTGCTGCTGCTCCTGGCGGAGCACCTTCATCGCCCGCAGCGAGGGCTTCAGGCAATAGCCCTGCGACAGAGGCATCACTGTATCGCTATCCGATGGAATTCCCCTTGATTTGGTTTTTTATTATTTTTATTATTTATTATTATTATTATTTTCGTAGCTGCCTGCAGTCACGTATGCAACAGATTGCGTCGTTGCCACGGGGTAAAATCTATCTTTCAGATACAATATCTATATCTCACATCTCACTAAGCACTTCACTTTTTTCGTTCACTGGCACTTCCACACATGCATATATATACATGCATACATATATATTCTATAAATTTAATTTAATTTATTTCTCCACTTCATACGCCATGAATTAATCTTTTGCGTGCTCTGCTTTTGGCTGTTTTAGTTGAACTGAAGAAGAAGTTTTGACAACAGCAGCAGCAAGGCATCTGAAAAACAGAGAGAACAAAGAGAATATGAGTTGGATTTTGATTTCGATTCCGTTCCGGGAGAAGTACACACACACACACATATATAGAAAGAGGGATAAAGAGAGCCAGCAAGAGATAGGGGAGAATGTGAAGTAAGCGGAACAAGAAGAAGATAGGGGCTTTACGTAACGCTCAAAAAAAAACACTATGGCAAAAATAAAGCAGGCAGCCAAAGAAATGAAATGACTGATTCTCAGAGGCAGCTTTTGATTCTGTTTTATAATTCCAAACCCAGAGAAAAAAGAGAGAACCCTCTGCTCTCTGGCGCTCTTTGCTCACTGGATGGCCAGGCGCGAAGAGGAAGAACTGTATCTATTACTTAACCACTGGAGAATGTCGGATATCTCGCCTTCGAAGTGCATTTCTCGCACCACCAGTCCGAAAAACCGATGACGTGACTTTCGTCGCCTTAGCACAAAGCTAATTGTTCTTATATAAAATGAAAAGGGGTTCATTGAACTTCCGCGAAGCTGGAAAGGAACCCCTGGTGAGCCAAGCTAAATCCATTTAATGGGGGCAAATTAACCTCTACATATAGTTGCGGTTAGGGTATAGAATATAAATCGCAACCAGACGGCGGCACATGCTATTACATAATATTATGAAAATTAACACTGAATCACATAGAGCAAACTGACGGGGACGCTGGCTAAAGTAACGAAATCAAAATCATCGGCACACAGATACTTCAGTACCAATACTTGCATACATTTGCCCGCTCTTAGGCCTTCTCTTAGGTTCTCTTTGCCGAGAACTCTTGCTCAATGTATTTGTGAGATACAAAAAGCCAGAGAAAGAGAGTCTGTTTTTGTTTTTGTTTGATTTTTGGCTTGTTTCGGTACTTTTTTTTCCTATTTTTTTTTTGATTGTGCGCACGTTTTGCTTTTGACGTTGTTCGTATTGTATCTTTAAGATAAACAATGCCGGCATAACACACAGATACAAATACACCCGCACTCACACAAACACCAAAACCCATTTGGAGTTTGGTTTTGTCTTTGCCTTCGCATTCTGGTTTTGTTATGTAAACAATTTTTTTGGTTGTCGTCCGCCCGGCATCAAGATCTCTACGATTCCTTTCCTATTTTTATTTTTTTCGGGCTATAATTTGTTTACATTTGCAAAGGCAATCAAAGTGTGCCGAAATAAAATGAAACTACAAAACTGCGTGCAAATGAAATTTTTAGTATTTCCCCATCGGCCAGAGATATAAAAACGGACACACACACGTTCGAGCATTTTTATATCAGACGATTTCTGCTTTTGCATAAATCTCGTTGTTAAGTAATGCTGAAATATCTTATAAGTTGGTAGTTAGCCAAGAAAATGAATTTATCAAGGGTGTGTTTATATGTCTGCAGATATACGATCTACATGAGACTTTCTGATCGAGTCGGCGACCCAAAAAATTAATGAAACACGCATTTTATATTCGGAATAGAATTTCGGCTGCAGGTTACATAAGATCTGGGGGAAGTTTTTTGGGTTGGTTTGGATAGTTTTTGAATTTTTATAGTTAAACAAGGGAAGTTGTGGATTGTTGGGATTTTATAAAACGTATTTTTTATAAAAATACAAAACTTGTATTTTTTGTACAGATATAATAACCTCAAACTGTGTCTAGTTTTATGATCATTCATCTTAACTGACGGAAGTATATCATTTTTTTTTCCTCATACTAAACCACTCAGTGTTACAAAATAAACTTCCTATGAATTTCCCTTTCAAAAGCTATTTGCTGATATCGACCTTCAAGCACTAGAGAAAATCCACTTTTAGATTGGTTTAAGCAGAACTTTACACAAGCCGAGATTCGGTTCGGGAACCATATAAGTATATATATAGAAATAGAGAGGTGGCGAAGGCGATTGAGATACGGGGCCCCCGGCTGCTATATCAGTTGGCATTGTGAAACATTGTGGAACATTGTGCGAGGGAAAAGTTGGTAAACAAGCTCCCAGGCACTCGATTCTAATTGTTCCTGTTGTCGTTGATAGTTTTGGCTTGGCTTTGCGTAAGTCGAAATTATGTATACGACTCATATAACTGCACGTGTATCCAACTGCAATGTACGTATAGTTCGTATTGCATAATCCGATTGCCGATAAACGTTCCCAGGCGAACTGCAAATATGTGGAGCCCTCAGGGCAATATAGCTCGTAGATTGCTTTAGATTTCGCCATATTATGCAATGTCAATCCTAAACAACGAACGACTGCCTTTTTATCAACGTCGTCCAGCGATAGTCAGACAAAATGGCAACGGTGACAATGCGATGACATATAATATCCACATAACTATAGTTATAACAGCCTTTGATGGTATTCTAAGTCAACTGAATGCAGGCATTGTTTGCCTTAAATACGATAAGTGATTGTAGGCAAACGTTGATTGAAGTCGATAAAGGAACTAGCCATTCGTTGGGTTGTAAAGTACTGATTGAAAACGACAGTTGTATCTGTATCTACTATTTAATTACAATTTTTGAAGTACAAGCCGGAAATTACTTACTCCAGAGTGGTACTATTAGTGGTTATAAGTTAAGAACCAAATTCCTATAAAACGTTCTGATCCCATAACAAATTTCTGTGAATCCCATGGGCTTCTGATAAAGTTCTTTAATCACATACCAATCACCACACCATTAAATTGCATAAGAATGTGCGCTATAAATTGATTATGCTCCGTTGGTAATTTTCCCGGTAATTATGAAATCATACTCGTAGTTATGAAATCACATAAATTTTCATTGCCTTGATGTTTGCGTTTATTCGTTTTTGTATATTTTGATTTCTTCTTTGATATTTGTTTTATTGGTTTCTCATTTGTTTTGTCGTTTTTTGCTTGGCTCACACGTTTTATGACATTGTATTCGGAGGGACGATGATAAACGCTCGTATAAATAGCCCCAAGAAACTACAACAGAAACCTAAGTGAAGAATTTATTGAGGCAAGCCACCAAAATATCTAGTTTTGATTTCACACTGATTACACAAGAACCCACTCGCTCGATGACTAATTGGCCCAGTCCCTTTTGGCCTTACATAATGCCCAGTGTGGTGTTTGACTTTGTTTATATAACTGCGATCTGCTGTTTGGAGTCTGGCTTCCTCGATATTCGACTCTGACTCATGACGAACCTTTTTCGCTCGATGACGTATGCAAATAGGTTTTTCCTCTTACCAAGCCAGCCATTTTTTTTTTGTATTCAACCCCCTTGGCGCTTTTCGTTTTGGGCCAAGTGGGCGAACTGACTGAATGGCTCGTTCATTGGCAGCAAACGTCGCATAATACTCGTAGTACATTGCGTGTCGTAACGCTAAACGCCAACAGAGCGAGAGGGGTAGATACAGAAGAGAGAGATAGAGGGGGAAAGGAGCCGAGTTTGGAGGCTGACGAGTAATGGGTGGTGACCCCGACAAATAGGCGAATTTTTAGTAGATTATCTGGTACTGTCAACTTTAAACCGGAAAGTTGCGAAACCGCTAAGTGAGTCACAGATGCGGGGGAAAAAATGTTTTTTGAAGGAGAACTTATTTTGTACCTTTAAGTTCTGAAGAAAAAAAACCATCTGAATATCATTGATATGTATTCGGTTTCATCAAAATATTATTGTATTATCTTTTGACTTGAACTATTGATTTTAAAACAAGTTTTTCTACATTTATACTTTTGTAATCTATTAGATAAGAGCTAAGCTTATAAACGCTTGAATATTGACAACCAATTTTATTATTATTAAATCCTATTATTTATTGAATAACTTTAGTTTAATGGAGTTTTAGACAATGAATGCTTATCCATCTTATAACAATATAAGTTTTTTCAGCTGATATATAAAACTCAAAAATATAAAAATATTTTTAGAACTTAATTTTTATAAGGTACTTTGTAAAACAAAAGTAATTTGTAAATAAACAATATAATTTGATACTGAAAAATTTAAAAAAAATTTCCAAATCAACAATGACAAATCATTCAAATTGTTTGTCTGTTTATCAGGTCTAGTTTATCACGAAATCGGTTATATATACTTTTCCGCGAAAGTTTTATCACTCATTAAATAGAAATGACTATCAAGTGCAGGCCGAATTCAATTGGCCGCAGAGGCAGAACGTCAACAAAGCGGCGCAGAAAAAACGCTTAGTAATGCCTTTAAAAATATGGCAACACGTAAGAGCCGCCCGCCTCATTTTCCCCCTCCCCCTCCCCTTCCCTCCTGCAGCTGCACTTTTTGTTTTCACAATCGGCAGATAGCAAATGAAAAACAGTTTTTCCCCCGAACCAAAGAGAGCCACTAAGAGAGAGACTTGAATGTGCCAATCTTTGAAAAATGCAACTTTGTTGAGCGTTCATTCACATTGGACACACACACGCACACAGGGACAGAAAAGCACGCACACATAGCGAAAGCATGTGGTTCGATGTCGTAACACGCACAAAGAGAGGTTAAAGAGAGGCTAAGAGAGGGGGCAAGAGAGTGGCCAAATGGAATTACCTGTCGCTGTTGAACCGCGCCTCCTTGTTTTTCACCAAAAAAGGGGCGGTTTTTTTGCGGGGGGTGCGGTGGTGGGCTGTTGCTCGAGAATCACTCACACACACACAGACACACAATCACGAAATTCTCCCTCTTCTTCTTGCAATTTATTTAAACTTTTTTTTTGTATATTTTTTGTTGTTTGCCAAAAATTTATAGCCACACGCGTGCGAAAAAAAGGAATTGGGAAATATATTTGCTGGTGTTATGTGTTTTTCTCCTAATTTTTATTTTTTTTTTGTTTTGTAAGAACTTGGAACGGCGCTTGTCCGTCGGCTTTACGTAACCCCGCCGCACACACGGGTTAATTTTTTATTTTTTTTATTTGTGTGTTGGGGGTGCGCGGCAACTTGGGTGGTGGGGGGGTGTTTTCTGTTTGCACTTGAAACCCCTTTCAATATTTTGTGACTAATTTATTTATTTTATTTATTTACACTGCGAAACACGCGAGCGAGCGCCTTTATTTTATTTATTTCTTTTGGTTACGTTGGCGTTTGTTTTGTAATACGCTTACGTTACGCGACGAGAAAGAGAGAGAGAGGGCGAGCACGAAAGAGACAGCAGCACAGGCAGCGGCGGCAACGTGTTCGAGTGTCTCGGCGATGATTTGCTTACGGGGTGCGCTCCACTTTGTTGCTTTTTATTTGCCTTTTTTATTATTCATCATTTTTTGATAATTTTTTTTTTTATTGTTTGGCCTTTTGTATTTTCTCGGCCTTATTCGCTGAACGTCTCTCTGCTGTCTGAACTTGCCACGGCCGCTGTTCAACAGCGAATGAATGGTGTGAACAGCCAGTCGTTTGCTTGGAGCGCAAAAAAAGGGGGCTCTCTTTGGGTCTTAAAGAGCGAGGGATATACTCGAATATTATGTCACTTGGGGGTTGGCTCTCTTACGCCTCTGTTGCGTCATCAATTGCACTGGGGCTGGCGGTTTCTCTTCGGGCGCCTGCTCTCTCTGGCGGGGTTCTTTTTTTTGAAAAATTTGCCGGCAAAACGTCAACTGTCAAAACAGGCGACGCCAAGCAAAATGATGGGCAGGCGGGGGTTAAGGGGGGTGCTTGGAAAAACTATGGGTTGCGGGGGGGTTAGGGGGTGGTGCTGGGGCTGCTAGTTTGCCAGTGGGCGTCATTTATCGTATGATGCGCATTTCCGGCGCCATTCAACAGACAACAGCAGATAAACACCCAGCAACATCAATAATAACAACAACTACAGTCGATCTTCTGTAACTCCAACTTTCTTATGTGAAAAGTTTTGTAACTCTCATAAAAAATAGTTCTTAGAACTGGATTAAACTTTACCAAACGTAAAAAGAACTGGTAATACAACTTTATTATATAACCTAAGGGATTTGTTCAAAGATAAAAAATTACAGAACTCAAACTATTGTAATAAAAAAAGAGTGATCTAAACATTTTTTTTAAAAATTAAATTACAAAATAATACAACATTTTTACGAACCTTAGTTTATTTTTACTTTGTTTCCAAAATTACACTAGATTTTATGACGATCATGACAATCGAACTTGTTTAAACTTTACCATACGTAAAAAGAACTGGTAATTAAACTTTAGAAGATAGTCTAAAAGATCTGTACAAAGACATAAAATTAAACTACTCAAACTATTATAATAGTTAGAAAATTTTTTAAAAATTATATTACAAAATAATACCAAGTTTTAATGAACCTTAGTTTCTATTTTTAATATGTTTCAAAAATTACTCCAGTTATTTTGACGATCATGACATTTGAAAAAGTCAAATTATAAATATTTTTAAACCTTTCAAAAATAAGGTTTTATTGGGTTCAACCTATTTTAAGTGTTATCCACTCACCATCGTAACCCTAAATTTCAGATGTCCCAATAGTTTAAAATTGCATATGTTCGACTGTAATCGAATTTCTGCGTTTCATAAGTGTTGTGTGGCTCTTACATATTGTTTTGTCATTTAACGCAAATTACGTATACGCCGCGTTGACCTCATTTGGTTTGATCAACAAATGCAGTTGTCGACAAACTTGGCTCAAACTAACCGCAGTCTCTTTCGCTCCCCCCTTTCTCCCCGCTCTCTCCCCCATATTTCTCTTTTGGCTTCGCTCGGCTCGTATTTCAAGCTCAAGTTCAACGTTGTCTGTTAGCGGTTGCCTGCATACTACCAGTTTCCACGCCGCTGCTGGCTGGTTGCTGGCCATTAACATTTTGAGTGGCCGTTGTTGTTAACTCATTTTTCGCTTTCGTAAGTGTTGGCCGGCACAAAAATATGCGCGGCGGGCGAGAGGAAGCAGCATATGTTTGAGCATTGCTCGCATTTATTGCCACATTTCCCCACAGGGAAGTAATCGAATTGCTGAGCCTCAGGTCTGGGCCTGGTTTAAATTGTGCAGTCAAAAAAATCGCAATAAATAATAATAATACAAATCTTAAATAGTTTTTATTTCACATTTATAGAAATTTTTATAAAATGTTACACATATATATTTTTCAAAAAATATTTAAGATAGATACTTTAAAAAAAATGTTCCAGATATATATTCTTTATATTTAATAATAATAATACAATCTCAAGTAGTTTTTATTTCATATTTATAGAGATTGAAAAAAAATAAACCAGATATAAATTTTTAAAAAAATATTCCAGATAGATATTTTCCAAAAAATGTTCCAAATATATATTTATTATATTAAATAATAATAATACAAGTCTTAAGTATTTTTGTTTCAAAATTAAATTTTTATTTAAAAAATAATTTAATGTTGTTAAAATGTTGTTTTAATTTCATATTTATGAAAATTCCAGATAAATATTTTTCTAAATATCTTACAAATATGTATTTTCCAAGAAAATTTCCAGATATATTTTTAATATTATTAATATAGCAACCAAAAGATCTTTCAATCGTAATTCCGGCTTTATGCGCTTATAAAAAAGTTTTAAATTTTATTTTGAAGTTAAAAAAAATGGGTTGCTGAGTTTAAATATTTTTTTCTGCTATTTCAAACGTTAGATCTGAAAAGGTAACGAATTTTTCCATAGTGTACTGGTTATGCAGCTCCCATATCTCAAATAGTTGCTGTTGCTTTTGTTGTTAATCGACGGAAATTAGCTGCGAGTTTCATGTTTGAGATGTTTATTTTGTAAGCAATATATGAGGAAATTAGTTTGAAGTTTTTTTCTTTCATTGGTTTGTTATGTTTTTTGCATAACAAAGGTGTATGGCCTTTTCGGGTTTTAAGTTCGGCTGGCAAACAAATCATTTTACCATTTTTCATTTCGTTGGTGAATAATGGTAATGAATGTAAATTGAAATCGAGCGAGTTTTATTTGTGATCCACAGGGAGCGGAAATTGATACGCTTTGAATAAACTATTGAAAGTTTTTGGAAATGAAATTTGCAGGTTAGCTAAACCAACAGTGTTTAAGCATAATATAAATCTGTCAAATATAAATATTACAGCCAACGGTCTCACAGCTCATATCATATCCAGTTTCCATTATTATATCCTCTTTCCACTCACCAATTATGCAATCAACTTGACCTCCAGTTCCTCAAATATAAGTATCCAGCTGCTTTGAAGGCCAACAACTTAAATAACCAAACGCAGCCAAAAAGAAGACTATACAATTATAAAAAACCAACTTACCTCTGAGTATACCACATAAAAGCCAATGAAATTAAAACGATATTTATTAATTTTTTGCATTTATCGTTTCAAAATTTGTATCTAAACCTTTATTGTTTGTTCTTTTTTGCAGTTTCTCGTAAAACATAATTTTTTGCCACGCCTAAATCTCACTTCCTATCTCTTGAAGTTCCTACGCATTAATTTCAGTTTTCATTTTGAAATTATAGCCCATAACAGAAACATAACTATCTCATTCAGTTAACAAAATCTACAAAAACTTATATTGAATGTTTTTGGAACTTAAGCTTAATTAAGTTGAGTGTAAAATAATTAACAAATGACTTCAGTTAGGTAATAAATTATAGCTAATATCTGCAGCATCTCGAGCACTTGTGTTGGAATTTCCTTAGGTTTTCTCTTTTGGTTTTTTCGTAGTTTTATTTTGGTTTTGTATATATATCTAGGTACATGTTAGTGTCCTTGCTTAGGCTTTCATCTTTAAGTTTTAGTTTAATTTTGGTTTCCATTCGTGTTTATTTTGTGTTTTGCATGCTGCCAACAACAATTAGGCTGAGTTTTTGTGGATTTCATTTAGCATTGCTCTAATGCCTTAAGCTGATTTTTGTCTAAGTTTTTCTTTAAGTACCAAATGAAGTTTTTCTTTTCTCTTTGTAGGCTTTAATTTAAGCTTTGATCTAGCTTTCGTTTAAGCCTCAACTTAAGCTATGGTAGCCTTGTGTTATTTATGAATTTACCTTCAGCTTTCTTTTGCATTTCGTTTATAAAATTATTTGCATTTCGTTTCATTTTGCAAAAATCTCAAAATATAAGTAAAGGCTCTAAAACGCTTTTTTAAGTTCTTTTTTTAGTTTGGTTTTATTCAATTAATTTAGCTTGATTTTTTGCAACAACTAACAAGTTTTTGGTTTTTGTCCATTTTTTTTTTATTCTTACTACATTTAAATATTTTTATTTGTGGATTTTTTTCGGGGCTTTTTATTGATTTTAAAATTCAACAACATTTTCGTCTTTAATAATATGTAAGAATATATTTTTATGTATATATATGTATATATAAGTTATGTATATGTGTATAATATTATGTATGTATATAATAGCATTTAATATGTTTCGCATTGCCATTCGATTCGCGCCGCCACTTCCGTTTCCGCTACGCCGCCATTTTGTTTTTAAACTCTTAACCACTAAAAACACTCAGCTCTTGCCCGTTACTTACTTACTTAAATTATCGCTTTGCTAATTTCTCGTTTTTTGTTTGTTTTCTGCTTTGCACTGCAACAATTTGTGTCTTTAGTTACTATTTTTAACCCTGCCTAACGATCGCCTTCCCTTGCCCGTTTGCTATTTAGTTGAGTGTACTATTTGCATACAACTAATATCTGTATAAGGTAGATATAAAAATCATCAACTACGAATTTATCTACAAAAGTTACTCGCTTGTTTGTCTTGTAGCATGCGTAATTCATTTAACTAATCCGTTTTTTGTATATAATAAATATATATATTTTAATGTTTATTGTATATTAAACATAATTTCGTTAGTTCTCATATTTGTTTGTTAAACGTTTCATACTTTTCAGTTTTATCGTCTTCTGTTGTTGCTACAAAGTCTACATTTTGTTACGGAACATTCTTATTCGAAAATCTGGGTTTTCTTTCTTTTTTGGAAACTCAAGAAAAACGTTTGAAATGAAAATATCTACTCTTGCCCTGGAAAAGTTTGCTTGCTTTTGGCCTGGGAAAATCCATGCCCGAAAGTAGGCTACAGAATTCGCAACCTCCCCCTTTAAATTGCGTGAGTATGGGTGTGTATCTTTGTATGTCAGCCCAACTAATTTCGAACTATCTAAATTAAGATTCGAATTTTTATTCTCGTTTTTTTTATTCAACAATGCTCTACATTAACCAAAAATTGTCTACAAAAATTCAACTACAAACTACGGAAAACAATAGTTGTTAAAAATATACAAAACTACGCTTAACTAAGGGTTGTGTTGGGGGGAGGTCTACGCTCTTTCAAACTGAAGTCCAGGTCAAGTAAATAAGCAAAATATCGCCTTAATTTGTTTTCACCTCTACGCGCAATTTTTATGTTACTTAGGTATAAATATTTTTATATAAATATAACATGATTTTGGTTTTACTTCTGGTTTTGTCGTACAAATATGTAGCAATTGCTTGAATCTGCTTAGTCGTATAGTCCGCTATTTTGAGTTATCCATAAATGTTAAGTTTATCGTATATACTTGTGTGAATTCATTCAACAACCGAAGCTCAAAAATTTTCATCTTGCAAAATGACACCCAACATTTTTTTAGGTTTTCTTTTTACTTGTGGGGTTCTTTCTTCATCTTTAACGTTATTTTGTGGTTGTTTTCTCTAGGTGGTCTCATAGCAGTGCAAAAGGCTTTTAGGTTAGGTTTGTTTTGTTTGGGGGTTCTGTTAAGGGAACCAAAAGAAAAGTTTGGGAGATGGCTAATATCTATATTGCTATATAATGCTAAGTAGATTACTATTTTATTTGTGTAGTTCTTGCATCTATCGTTAGGGTTAGTTTCGATTTCGATTTCGGTTGCGGTTACGGCTGTAGGTTTATTTCTTTAACTCTGTCTTGAGATCCTTGTATGGTTTTTATTAGTTATTTACTAACAATGAGCTATGTGGCGAGGGGGCGGGGCTGCCGCGGGGGGGCGGTGTGGTTGGATAGACAGAAAATAAACGAGTTTTCAATAGTTAAAAGCAACGCTTAGACTTTTATTATTACACACAATTTTTTGTTGTTGTTTGCTTTCTCACTTTTTCGTCACGCTCATTCTCCTTTATCGATCTTTGCTTTTGTGGTTTCTTTCTGCTTTTTTGTTGGTTTTTGCACATTTTTCCATAGAATAAATAAGACTTATCGAAATTTGTTAAGAAGAAGTGCTTAATGAACTTAATTAACTCTTGCTTTAGCTTCGATTTCGTTTGCTGAATATAAAATATTAATTTTGCTCTCGGTCGGTCGTTTTTTCTGTAGTTTCATATATTTTCTTAAGTTTCTAGATAATTGTATGCAGGTAAATGTAACTCAAATGTATAACAAATAATAATAATTAATAAAACTTAACTAACGAAAATAGTTGTTGTTTAAAGTAACATAATTGTACGGTATTATGTAAAATTGTTTTGTTTTTTCTTTATAAATTGTTTGTTTTAAGATCTTGCAAATCACACCAAAAGAAATAGTTTTTCTTGTAATAAAAGATATACGAATAAAATTTTTACAACTAAAAGAAAAATGTGAAAATATGTGGGGGGATATAGAGCGGTATGAAAGGGGGCTTTTCCGGGGAAATGGTCTGTGTGTGTGGTTCTGTTAGTAGGTAGTACGAAAAGTAGTTCTCTCGCTTTAACCAGCTGACTATGTCTGGGTTAGTTTTGGGTTGGTTATTTTAGTATCAACAAATCAACAACGAAAACTATTTCACTTCTAGTTTTGCATTTTCGTCTGTCCACCGTCTGTCTCTGTCCGTCTGTTTGGTTTTTTAATTTTTTTGGGGTTTTCTGATATTTTTTTTCATTAGGTTTATATAAAAATCATAGCTCACTTAAACTAACCAGCTGCCAAGTGCCCGGCAACTGAGGAGGGAAGTTCTTTGCTCATTCTAAATGGTTTTTCTCTTAGCGTTTCTTTAATTTTCTCTTTTTTTTTGTGGGTTTTCATTTTGCAATTTTTTATACAAGTTTTCTTATGCTTTTTATGGTAATTCTTCTCCCGAGTTAATTTGAAAAAAGGCAACGAAATTATTTACAATATGATTTGTTGTGTGTGTGTGTGGTTCTCCTTTCACTAATTGGCTAAAGAAAAACTTAACCGAAAAACTAATTACAAAAAGTAATAGAAATTAAAAGAGTTAGGAGAGGGAAGAAAAGTAGCAGAAGAAGGCGTAGAAGGGGGAGGTTATCGTAAAACTAGGCTAGACAACTATTAAACAATTTAAAAGATAACAATTCTAGGTCTGTGTGTGTTTTTTTATTTTTAGGATTCCCATTGCGCTCGGAAGTATGCTACTTTAAAGGCAAAAAGCTTCGGCTGCAGAGCTTTACTTTCTTTTTTGGCTACTCTAAAAAATGTTTAGTTTCCATTCGGTTTCGGTTTTCTCCTCCTTTGTGTTTAGTTTAATTTGCTTTTAGTTTTTAAGCATAAAATAAATATTTAAGCGGAGCACGACGCCGTGAGGGATTTGTTGTGTGTGTGTGTGTGTATGCTGTGTGTGTGTTTGCTTAACAATTATATTTTTGCATATACATATTTTTAGATACAATATGTATTTTATAGTGTAGGTTTCATGTCTGCTGTACTAAACATTATTAGTAGTTTCTTTATCATAGTTATGATTATTGTTATTTTTTTTTTATCAATAGTTATTATTATTTAATTGTTGTGGTGTCCTCAGGCCGTCACAAAATTGTATTTATCATTACACATCTTGGAATTTCGATAGACGTGCACGCAAGTCCATGTTCTCCTGTTTCAACTGTTCCACCTCCTGATGTAATGTTGCATTCTGAGTGTGATAAGTTGGGATAAGTTTTGGATGGTTGTAGGATAGATAGGGGTATTCCCCAAGTACTCACTTCCTTCTCCAAGTAGCGTGCCCGCATCGCAATCTGGTTCTCCTTCTGGCGCCGGGCATCGCGGGATCGCTTGGCGGCGATGTTGTTCTTCCGGCGACGGGCCCAGTACTTATCGTCCTTGAGCTCATCTGGAACGAATTGCTTGCGTGACTTTTTGATCATCGGCTGCGGCTTGAGCTCCTCGTCGGAGAAGGCTCGAGTTCGCGGATCAAAGTCACGGCCCGAGGAGGCGAACGAAAATGCTGGAATATCAAATACTAAATGTTAACAATGGTTCACAGACTGTTTTCGTGCTAAATTAAACATCATAAAAATCAACCTCAGAACGGTAAACTCAAACAAGGTAATGGATGGAAAATTATATTTGAATTTGAAATTGAATTAAATTGAAATTTAAGGTTTTGCACAAATTGGAATGGGAATCATTGAGTGAAGGTCCCTGGGCGGAACCTTCGTTTTGTGTCTCTTTAACATTTAGCATTTGATATGACATTTGTGGGTAACTTAAATTAATTTATATAATTCAGTTATAATTTAAGTTAGAAGCAATGTCCATTCCATTTGTGTTTTTATATAATTTCATTTATAAGTCAATAAAGTTCTTGATTAAAGTCATAGGATCGTTTATATGTGTGTTTTTAAAAATGTCGCTATTGATTTGATAAAGCAGTTGATAAGATTTTTCAATTGATAAAAAAATGTTATCGTTGAAGAGTATGATTACATTGTATAACAGATATATTTTTTTAAGCTAAATATCTTTTTAAATATACCAATATAGTAGGAAATACCAAATTGTTTCAATCAATTAAGTTCAAAATTTAAGAACAATTGGAACTGCAAATTTTTATCGATTAATCGCGGATTTTTTATATATTTTACTTTATATTGACATTATACGTTATATGTGTTATGTTGTTTCCAAAATTTAAATATTTATTAAACGATCTCAATAGATATTGCATTTTCCGCTTCGCTTTGATTGTGATTTATTGATTGTGATTTATTACGATCTCAATTGACAGTTTATCGATGCACCGATAGACCGATTATTCGCTATACTCACTTGACTCGGCCGGCGATGGCGGATTTAGCGTGTCCGGACTGATGCAGTCGGATGGCGAGGGCGACCGCTCCCGCTTTGTGGTTATGTGGCCCAGGCCCAGCGACAGACCCGCTGCGTGACCCAGGGAATCGGACCGGTGACCCAGGCCACTCGAGTGACCCAGATGCGTGCCGGGCAGGCCATCAGGTATGTTGTTCTCCGACAGGAACTCGTCTAGGTCGGCATACTAAAATGTTAAATGCGAAATATGCGATGAGCAACTGGACACGAATGGGAGGAGCAGGTATTTCCTCGGTGTTAGTCACACGATCTGAGCTCGGATGATGAGAATACAATTCTCGCACTAAGTAAGCAATCGATAACATTCAAGTTAACTGTTTCGCCGTGTGTTTTGTCATGACTGTACTGGTGTTTATGTGTGTTTTAGGCTGTTTCCACTAGATGCTTTGGTTCGCTTTTATAGTTTATAATTATGGAAGTGATTGTTGCCTTTATAAGTAATTTTTCATAGAGTAATTCACCTTTTTTATTAAATGCTTGCAATTAATCTAGTGAAATCAGCCTTTTTCGTGTAAAATTTTGAGCTTTGTGTGTAATTTAGACCTTTGGACATTGTATAAAAAGACGCAGCCACTACGCAGCGATGACAGAAATGATACTAACTTGTGTTACCTTGAGGTCGGCATCATAGGGCAGGGTCTTGTCCCACAGATTTGGGCCCAGAAACGCCGTTTGCGCCTCGACATTCCAGATGTCGCCCTCCTCCTTGTATTTGTCATCTGGGCAGATGATTTCTTTGCTATTCGATGTGGACTTGCCTGTAAAAAGAAAATGGGTGGGCAATTAGTCAGGGCCACATAACCATGATTAGATAGCAGTCTATAAATACGGCCAGTTAAGGGCTTTGATATCTTATCCCCATACTTGGAAGTGGGTCAAGTGCTCTTCATTTCTCTATTATATAAACCATTCGAATTCTTTGGGAATTCGCGTTCGTATGGGAATGGCTGAAAAACAATTTCCGCGAATTTCCGCATGCAGCTTTTGGCCATAAAAAAAAACGGGTTACAGGCAAACAAAACGAAACAAAGACAGACAGCCAAAAACCAACAAACAAACAAATCACACACACACAAAGCAAACAACGGCAAGAGGAAGCAGCCGACAGAAAGCATACGAAAAGCGAAAGTGAAATTTTTACTACAGCTTTCAAACTGATTTTTATCGCTTCCAGCTGAGAAAAAAAATGTGTAAAATAAACTCAAGCGCTCAAAGATGGTCAAAAAGCTTGCAGCCCTATTGTAGCCAAGTTGAGTGTTTATTTTTTTTTAGTGGTCTTCGTCGAAGCTTTATTTTGACGCTGCGCATGCGCAGCTGAGCATGATCTTTCTCTGCTTTTCGCTTCTTTTCTTTGATTTCTTTCACAAAACCCGTTTTCTGGCCACAGACAGTAACAGAAACCAGTTGCCGTCTTTGGTTTCTTTGGCTCGCAATAGTTTCCGCTTTCTTATTCACTCTCACTTTCATTTGCGAATGCTTTTTTCTTGTATTCCTCATTTTTTATTTCGTTTTTTTTTCTGCATTTACAGTTGTTGCTACTGCCGCTTTTTTTGCATTACGGACTATTGCGAAATTTTATGCCATTTTGCGGCCTGCCTCTTTCTTTCCTCGACTTCTTCGGCGCCAAACACACACATTTCTGGTCTGCGCCATGAAGTAATATCTTTTCTTTTCGATGTGCTCACCAAAGCGTAAGTGAAATGCTCAAGTGTCTGTGAAGTAATATCTGCTGCTTGGTGAAAATTAGGACTTGCAAATCGGCGAATGCATTGGCCCACGGGGCGTATGGGTAATGCATTCATGAACTTTTTGACCAGCGTCTTTGGCTCTTTAAGCATTCGCTTTTAATAATTTGTAGCCAATTTCGGAGAAAAATGTATATGGGCTATTAAAAGTTTATTAACATTTTGAAAAATAAGTACTTCAGGCGAATTTTAATAAGAAAAGTTGAGTCAACAAATATTAAAAAAAGATAGTTATCGCAAACAAAAAGTAAAACAGCTTTAACATTAAATTGTTAATATTACATTTTGGCTGGAAGCTTAAAAAACTAATTAATAAATTTAAACCTCTTACTGTGTTTAACGATTTCGTTTATGTTTAACGATTTCGAACTAAGAAAATACTAAATATACAAGCTTTCTTTAACACTTAAATTAATTTCAATAGTGAAAACCATTTCTTTTATGTTTAACCAAGATCAGAAATTAAAAAGTAACTTTAGAATAGATTGTTAAATTAATGCAATTTAAAATTCCACAATTATAGTAAATTTATATACAAAAAAGTAGCCAAAAAACACAATATATATAGTCTAAAAACTCAATAAAATAAAAAACACAAGAGCGCACAAAAATGAATAAAAGAGTGGAGGCAAAAGACTTTCGCATGGCAATTAAATAAAACACAAACAAAAGACACAAAAACTACAAAAACATTATAAAGATAAAACAAACTAATAACGAAAAAAAGACAAAAACCAAATTACCGTTTGCTTTGCAAATGAAACCCAAAAATGGAGATTTCCTGCCTGTAAAACAGAAGAAACGGAAAAGATAGATAGTAGAAAAGAAATACAATATTGAATCTTTTACAAAAGAAAGCAATTAAAAGAAGCAAGAACAAATACAGGAAAGACAGAAAAGATATGGTAATAAAAGCAAAAAAGCATGCAAATGTGATGATTATTTTATGTACAATAAGTTTGGCGAAAAGGATGTGGTCTTTACTCATTCATGAATATGGCAAAAGGTACTTTTACTTTTATTTTATTGCCTTCGATCTGAATTTATTTCTTTTCCAGTTCACTTTCACTGTCATCAACATTGTTGATTTGTGTGTTAAGCAGCAGGAATCTTGTCTTTCGGTTTATTTTTAGAAACGAACCCAAAACAGGAATTCAACTTAATCTTCTCTTGTTTCTGCCTCAGTTTTCGGTTTCAGTTTCAGTTTCTCTTGCCATTTTAAGTGGGTCAGCGAATTTTTTTCTGTGTCATCTTTGGGAGCCTCGCACCTTTTATTTTATTTTACCTTCTTCGCTTGGGGATTTTTATCTTCAGAGAGATTTCTCATTTTTGGTAATTAAAATAATTTGCATAATTTCTGTGCGTTTTTGGTCAGTATTTCACTTTCATTAGAAAGGGATAGGCAAAGAGATCTCGTTTCTCGTTCTCTCTTCTCGGGCCTACGACAACAAATTTATTGTTTCTCTGGTGAAAACACCAGTTCTCTTTTTTATGATCCTAATAATATTATTATGCTTATTACTGGTATATCATTTTTCTGTAAATTGTTGGCTCTGTGGTCTTTGTTGTGTTAATGGTTTGGCCACAATTTTTAGTGGACCATGGTCCGTAGGTTTTTCAGATATATAGTTTTGGAGGGGGGAATTAAACTTTCACTTTTTGTTTCGTTTTTTCGGGTTTTAGTATGAAACAGCGTAAATTTTGGTTGGTTGGCGGTTATAGTGACTGTGATTTTGATGAAGTGCAAGTCGACTGAAGAGGAAGTTGAGGAAATGACAATTAAGTTAAAGGAAGTGGTAACATGAAGAGATTTAATTCCAATTTTTCATTGAAAAGATTTTTTTATGGGGTTTTAATGATTAACAAAAAAGGTTATTATTAAAACGTAGTACTATTATTTAAAACTAGTTGCAGACAGCTTTTATAATTTATGTTTTTATACATTTTTCCTAATAAAACTTGAATTAAAATCTTGTTTTTTATCCTTTAATCTTCAAATCAAAATTGTTTATCCAATATTTTCTTGTTTAAGTGCATTTTTATCCGCCTTTTCCGTTAATCGGAATATCCATTAAACCAATTAAAATTTGATTCCCAGCCACATCCGTCTCAACTGCCCGAAAACTCCATTCCCCCGACCACCCCCTCGATAAGCGAAATGAAAGTGAGAGTGCAGGAAAAAACGAGTCTCAAGCTCCCAAAAAACTATCCCCAAAAAAGCGATCGAAGAAACCAGTTTAAAATACGCAAACGCAGATCGTTTTAACTTCTGAGGGGAGAATTAAATCGCAGACGATGCTATGACGCGATATACGAACGACATTGAGGATTATTTATGAAAATTAATACCACGCGAAAGTTTATTTTTGGGTACCTAGTTTAAGATCCCCTAAATTATCATAATATTAAAAAAAATCAATTGGAGATATTTGCAATAAAAATGCAGTGTAATAGAAAAAAGCTTTTGCAATATTATGCAACTTTTTGCATTATTTCCATTTTTCAAGTCGACCGACACCGACACATACAACAACAACAACTGTCCGCCCCTTTCACCTGTCTTCTGGCCATCTCTCTTGCTCTTTCTCCACCTCTCTCACACTCTCTGTACTTTTAGTCATACGCTGCGCATGCGCAACGATGGCGCAACTGAGACGGGTTTTTTTGTTGCTGTTGTTCATGGTGTTGTTACTGATGTTGCTGTTGTTGTTGGGGCTTAGTGATTTTTCAGTTGTTGTTGCGCCTGAGTGCCTCGTTGTATTACATCGATTTATAAACTACATCGCACTCTTCTTTTATGGTTTGTTGCCATTGTTGTTGGGGGAAGTTTGAGTTGTTGCTGTTGTTGTTGCTGTTGGTGAAGTGCAGAAAGTGTAACACTTTCGATTGTTTGTCGTTGTTGCTTTTGCTTTTGCCGCTGCGGCTTTTGTATGCACTGCATTCATTCCGTATTTGCGCTCATTTGCATTGCTTTTTTATTCCTTTTTTTCAACTTTTTTTACTGCTTTCTGTGTGTTTGTTTTATATCTTTCTACCGCTCTTTTTTGTGAAATTAATTATTTGTGGGAAAATGTGATAGGCTTTGGATTTCCGGGTTGTTGCTAGGTGAGGCGAATAGGCAACGTTCAGTTGAAAGATATATTTGTTCTCCCAGGAAAGTGTTATAAAAATATAACTATTAACTTTTATCTCTGTTTTTACTTTTTTATTTATATTTTTACTACAATTAAAATTTTTTATAAGTAATTTAAGTTTCTACAAATTGTCCACTTTCATTAAAACGTACCCATAATTTCATAAATAATTAATTTATGCTTCTAAATTATTGGCAAACCAGGTTAATTTTTTTTTATGAATTAAACTCAACTTTGTTTTATATTTTTTATATTTTTAATTATAAATAAAATGTAATACATAAATGTTATTTTTAAATTGTATTCATAATTTCAATATTAAATATTTTATGCTTCTAAATTATTGTCATTCCAGGTTGGTTTTTTTATAAATAAAAACCTCAGCTTTACTCAACTTTCAAATTTGTCTTATATATATTTAAAAATATTTTCTTTAATTTAGATAGGAGTTTATATTTATTTTAAAAAAATTATACAAATGGATTTTTAAACCGGTGAGTAAATAACACATAAAAAACTCGTATAGCTCTCAAAACTGGGAAAAAATGAATGTAGAACTAAAACAGATTTTATTTTTTGAGCTATCCCTACAAAGATTCGAACAGAGATTTGCGAAAGGCTTTCCACAATTTGTCAAATCATTCAGACTGTGCAATTTAATTTTTCCATTTCCCTCCCTCATAATTTAAGCAGACCTGCTATCAGAGCCGCGATTTCCCTAACGGCAGACCGCTTTCTTTGCGATTACGAAATTAATAGAAAATTATGAAAGACAACCGCACCGAGCGGCGGAATATTTTGCAACAGTTTAATTGCCCGAGACTCGGGCGGCGAAAGTGAAAATCCGCAGACAGCGACACAATTTGCCACATAGTTTTTCCCCCTCCCCGCCAACCCATTAGCCCAATTTCAGTTCGAAAGAAAGCCACGGTGGCAGCAGCAGTTAATTAGCAGAAATAAGGAAGCGAAACCGATAATCATACGTATCGTGTTGGCTCTATCAAATTATAGACTCATGCCATAAAGCGGCTGAAACACGAACGACCAGAGACATCGAAACCCAAATAAAATTGCCTCAAATATGCAGACCACGCGGGCTGTAAAGAAAATAGGAGGCGTGGCTAAGGGGTAAAACGTAATCAAAACACAGTGAATTCAATCAAAAGTGCTTCTGGTCTTTTTTTTGCATTTTTTTTTCGACCAGAGAGTGACGACGTGTGAACAGATTGCTCATACGCCTCGTGGTGCAGAAGGCAAAAGTTATGGCCAAAGCCTCTCTTTCGGCCACTTTCACTGATTCAAGTTTCTCACCTGACGGCAGCGTAGCTGCAATTCGCACGTTTTACCGTTGTGTTGCGATTGCGCAACAGTGAGTGTGTCGGCCAAACAATAACAACAACAACAATTAATTGGCAACAATCTGGCGTTTGGCCAAGACGAGTAGCTGGGTAGCTGGGTGGCTTTGATTGAAATAACTGTAATACGTTGCATTTTGGCAGGCCGCCTATCTGGGTGAGTGTGTGACGCCTCGGGGGTTTCTAGGCCCCCATTAACCCCCTCCGATTTTCGCCTTTTGGCATGTTTCAGGGGCACACTTCAAGCTCTCAACGCTTCCCGCGGTGATAAACCAAACGAAAGGAAGTCATGAATGGCCAGATTGAGGCGCACCGAACGGTTCGAGTCAATTGAAATTGGAGTTCCTCACGGTCATGCCATTGATAGAACCGTAGAAACCCAAGAAGGTGCCAAAAGACTAAACCCAATAATAGCAGAACCATGTTATAAAAAAAAGAAGGCGAAAAAAAAATAATTGTAGAAGAAGATTAACTGAATTCCAATTTCTGAGGAAATAAAATTGAAGAACTTTAAAAATTATATTTAAATAGTTTCTCTGCGTAATAATATCTGAAAAACTATGGTATAAGAAAGTTATACAAGCTTTTAACAACTTATGTCTTAAAAAACTTTTTATTAAAATTACCTGTCTAATTTAAAATCATTTTAATATTTTTTAAACTTTTATTTTTGATTAAGAGTTTTCTAAAGGCAAGTATAAATGTATAATTTATAAAAAATAATATTAGTTTTAATATTTTTAAGCTTTTATATTTTAATATATTATTTTCCTTAAAGCAAGTAGAATTCAATAACCCTTTTCCCACGATAAAAATTTAAATCACATTCCCCACTATCTATTTAATGCTAAAATATTAAACAAAAAAACCCCCGCGTCATTTATCTCCACATTGTTTTTTGGCAACTTTCCAAATTGTATATTTTTTGATTAAGATAAAATCATATTTATTTCCCACTCTTTAGAGCTAAACTGGAACCCTTCAACTTTTTTCCGTCTTTTCTTCTTTTTTTTTTGGCTTGTCTGTCTCTCTGTTTTATTTCAAGAAGAGCCAACAAAGTCAACATGGAGCAGGCCACCAAAAAAATATCAAAAAACTACCAAAAGGCAGAAAGAAAGAAATGAATTTAAAAACTGCCGAAAAAGTGAAAGTTAATTTTTGGTGATGTTGCTAAGCCGGCAGAGCAGCTGACTGGCTGTTGTAGTTGTTGCTGCTGGTTCAACGAAAGTAAAAACGCATTTTTCGGCTGCTAAAGAGCCGCTTATGAATTTTATATTGTTCGTTTGCCTCCCTGGC